CCCCCTCCTCGCCATTAGCATGCCTCTCAGGCGGCTGGAAGAGGAAGAGGCCTCTCCAAGGGCCGCCTGGCGAAGAGGAGGGGGCGACTGGGGGAAACTCGAGAAGCCCACGCCGCCCTCCAGGGTGTCCGGCGCTGTGGCTCGGCCGCTGTGGCTCGGCACACGAAGCCCCCGGGTCTCGCTCGTGGGCAGAACTAAAGTGCTCGCTCGGTAAAACACGGGCTTGCAACGTTGACGTTTCGATTCTCCCAGGAGGTTAAACCAAACAAATCAGAGTTTTGTTCTTCTTTTACATTTCTGACCGGCCCAGCCCAAGACTCAGGGCTGCCAACTGTCAGACTGATGGACGGAATATGTGCCATCAAGTCATTTTCAGCTCCTGGCCACCACATTTTCTCTTTGAGGATCTGTCTCTGCATGTCAGCCGTACGAGGTAGACCAGACAGGAAACACGGCCGGATGAGCTAATTCTACTTTATTGTAGGCTCCATTAACAGAATCTTTCATCCGACTGTTCCCTCGGTTGCGCCTCGCCCTGCCTCCCAAGCTCATTCCCACACACCATTGCACCAAGCTGGTCTTTCAGGTCTTCCACAGAACATCTATCGCCACCATAACCGAGTCCCTCCACCTTGCTGCTGGTCCTCCTCTCCTTCTCTTTCCTCCCACCTTTCCCAGCATTGGGGCCTTCTCCAGAGGGCTGGGTCTTCGCATCATGTGTCCAAAGTAGGATCATTTGAGCCTGGTCATTGGTGGCTCCAGTGAGAACTCTGGGTTGACTTATTTGGTGACCCATTGGTTTATTTTCTCGGCTGTCCACGGTCTTCTCAGGAGTCTTCTCCAACACCAAAGCCCAACAGCGTCAATACTCTCCCTCTCCTGCTTCTTTAAAATCCAACTTTCGCTTCCGTAGAGGGTCACAGGGAATACCATGAGTTGTACGATCCTAATCTTTGTAGGCATAGACGCATCTGTGCCGTCAAATAAAAACTCCTCAACAACTCCACTCATAACAGCAATGTTATCAATAGGTAAGGTCCTCAAGAGATGACCCAGAAATGTTCATAAAGGTTAAACATAATCTACTCTGCTAGGTATAACTTAGTGAGATGGGTAAAGCCAGCCAATTGTAGTTTACAGTATTCATTAAACCACGATTAACAGTGGCTTTATAAGTCTGACATGAACCACAAATGGTGACTTACAAATCATTGCCAGTCACCTGCTTACAAACGTGGCTTATAAGTGACGGTGGCAGGGGTTCAGATTTCATGCTAAACCAATTGATAAATACAGGGATACAGATAATACAATAAATAAGTTATACTGTATATCTGGGCTGTCAAATAGGATTTAGCACAGTGAAATTGTGGGGTACGTGCACCCTAGGGGGTGTACAGGATGATCCATTGGGGTACGGGAAGAAAACCTTAGAATGCCTATTTATATTTATTTTTTATTTTAAAAAATAGAAATTAAGCTATGCTAATCCTTAATACACAAAGTATATATGGGGGGGGGAGTACGTTTTATAATCTACCTACTCTTACTGTAATACATGTACATTATTTATAAATAAATAAATGGATATATATTGGAGTGTGTGCTGTTTTTTTTTTTTTTTACTGATCAAGGGGTGTGATCAAAGAGATCTGGAGACTAATGAACTAGAGAGCTTTTCTTTGAGCCAGCAAGTCTTTTCTTGCGTCCCAGTAAAGCCTGAAGCACGTTGAGACAGGGCGAAGAAACACACGTGCACGGGTATATGGAAACTAGAATTAAGACTGGTATTCACCTTTGGCATAATGGGCTCCTACATCAATCATTTCGTAGGGCTGGTTTCTGGGTGAGAGGATAAGCAGCATTTTTTCTCATTACTAATTAGACACCCAACAGGGATTTTGGAACTGGGGTGGGAGGACCCAAGAGGAGAGGTTTCGAAGACCGGAACTGAACCAAGACCCAGGGAACATCAGGGTTGCCGACTAGATTGGCAGGTCAAAAAAGAAAAAAAAATCTGGAAAGAATGAAATGACAACCACTTCTATCTTCTTGCTATGAAAACTGCACGGTTGCATCCGTGGAGTTCCCCAGGAGTTGCCCCGCATCGTTTTTACTTTTTAAAATCTCTTCCCGGGCCTTTAGGCCCACTAATTTCTGGATTCTTCAGCCCTGTTACTACAAATTCTGCAAAATTTAGAGACAGCGATATTTTCCAAATGCCAGACCGAGGCAGGGTCTGTTTCCTGATCTCTGCAATAACCCAAATAGTCAACCTTGACTGTTAATTTATTAGACATGAGGATAAGGGGTGCTTGGGGGGTTCGGCCCCCCAGCCTCCATTTGCTTTGGTTGCTTGTCACACACAAAAACCAGTTTTTTTTCAGACCAGCAGAGGGAGATAGCTGCATCTGAAATTGATCTGAAGAAATAAAATTCAGCTTTCTAATTGAAAGGATAAATACCCCGGAGGGAGTGTCTAATTCAAGAGATAACTTTAAGATTTAAATGGCAATCCATAATTATAAACAACTCTGCAATCCCCTCTACTTCAGATTTACTGAGAGATGGAATATTTCTCTTTGGTTTTAACCGTATCCTTTTTCAGCACGATGACTAAATCTGCTACCGAAATTGGGCTCCAATTTTCTGTATGGAATTTATATCCTGCATTCCTTTCTTTTGTCTATTTGCAGTTCTCTCCTCGTTTTACACCGAGGTTTGCAAGGGTGACTGTGTGCCAAGGAAAAAAATGGAAAAAGAAAAAGCATCTAAATGAACTGTGTGCTCGAATGTTTATTCCCTGCTGAAAGATGGACTTCTCATTGTCAGACGCCTAGCCTCACAAGACTTCCGAGACGGGTGGACCACACAAATCCGATTTATTTATTCTCAATTCTCATTCACAGTGCTCCCTAAGCGATCGGTTTGGAAGTGCACAGTGAAATCTCCCCCCCCCCCAAAGACTCCTCCTGGGTCCACACAGCACATCAAGGTGTAACACGCTCTTTGGTTTCATCTCATACACCCAACTATTTTGTCAAAGCTCTCTTTGTAGGAATGGACATTTCTGTATAAAGATGATAAATACGGTGGCTGCCATGAAAGACAGACGGATTCACAGACCCAGAAACGGAAGAAGTACAAATAAGTGAATACCACGGGCATTTTTACCCTGTGTAGTGAGCAATATCACATGACAGGTAACACCATCTTCCTCTTCTCTGAGTCACGCTACCATTTTTGGCATGCTCACCTGGGGAGTTTTCTTGGTGTGTACACACACCCAAGGATTGGGCAGGCTTTTCCAGGAAGAAAAAAATGCTGCAGATAATTCTTCTAGAAGCTATTGGGGGGGGGGCGGGGGGGGAGGCAAACATGTAATAAATCCTGCTCTTGATAAAGACCTCTTTTCATAGACTGTGTTCCTTTTTTCTTCGGACCATAAATTGTTTTAGGGTACTTTCAGCCTTTTGTTCTTCTAGCTGATCCTTCAAACACCGTTCATCTGCAATTGCCTGTGCAAAGATCTGTGTAGAAAGCAAGGGATTTTCGAATCCTAGAAGGTGGGGGATAAGAAGAACAGGAGAAAGATGCTGCTCGGAAACATCTTGCCGAGCACTGTGTTGGACTTGTGACTTGCTAGAGGTCTCCTTACCTACTTGCTGGCCATGAGATTTAGGGAGAGAACCTCTGTGTATAGAAGCAATAGATCTTGAAGGGTTGGAGACATTGAATAGGCAATGATCCTCCTGTCCTGCTGGTGAATTTCCTGGTGGTTTTAGATGCAGGATCCTGGAACCCTCCTCCTCCTCCTCCTCCTCCACTCCTGTTCTGATCCAGTGGGGCTCTTCTCAGAATCCGACTCTTCTACCATAATGCCATGGGATTAGAGTTGGTCAGAAGACTGTGGTGTTCCTAAAGGAGCACATGGGGAAAACACTTGCCCTGCCCTGCTCACCTCCATGACTTTGTCTCTGGAGCTTGGACACCCCGGACCCTGCCCGGCTCTTCCAGACAGGAGCAGCTAAGAAGCCCTGGAAGCAACTCTCCAGGACTTTGGGGTGGGGAAGCTGTGGGGTTGCCCTCCCCTTAGTTCCCATCAGCGGTCAGGGGAGGCCGAGCTTTATCTGACTTCCCACTCTTGGACATCCCCCTCCTGCCTTGGCCGGGACAGCAGCCTACACCACCACCATCCCGCTGGATTTAGCCCGGCCACAGCCCTGATGCTCCAATTCCATCATCGCCAGGAGGCTGAGCCCAGAGGCGTCTTCTTTTGCACGCTATTTCTGGCAAGCCGAAGAGCGAGCCGCAGCATCACGGTTTAGAAAATGCCTTTGTGGCTTTCTTCCGTTCGCTTTCCCGTTCACCCAGGGCCTCCTCGCAGTAGTGGGGGGAAAGTCCTGGGCCATGCAAATGCTCTAACTCCCGTCCTTCATAATTAAAAATTAAAAAAACAAAACAAAACACCGAAGGTTTGGGCTCAAAATCAGTCCGGTTTCTTGCGAAGCGGCGGCGGCGCGACTCCGAAAACTTCCCTGCGGACCGCGGACCGGCGCTCTCTGGCGCCCTCTGGCGGCCGCCCAGAGCTCCAAGCGCGGATCCCGCCGCGCTCGCATCTCGTTGCTAAGCTCCCTCCCCTCCC